TCAAGAACTGAACGTTTATAATAATCTATAAACCATTAAGCTCTGTTCTAGCCTCATTTTCAGTTAAAATATAAGCAATAATTCTAAGCGAGATCAAAATTGATTTCCAATTAAAAAAAAAAATCAGCTTTAAACACCAGAAAGAAATTTAACCAAAGATTTTTATGGAAAAAATTAAAACCAGACATCTCACAAAAGCATATGAACTGAGGACTTCTCAATAGGGTATTGTTCTCAGAAAAAAAAATACAGTGAACTTTGAGATGCAAAGAAGCATTTTCTCTTTCTTAAATTCAATATTACAAAAAAGTTATATGTATTATATCAATACTAACATGCATTTTTGTTATTTCTTATCATAATTTTTTTACTTTTATACCAAATTCTATGTTGTATAAATAAATAGAATTATATTCTACTTCAAAAAGAAACTTTTGCAACTTGAAAAATCTTTATTCCTTCTATAAACATATTAAATTCCTAAAAAAAATTATCTGTTTACTACTGCTACAGCATCTTGTAAAAATTTAAAGTCTGCATTCAAAACCAACAAAAATAACTTCCCAAAGAATCTTAATATACAGGTAATAGTGGTACATGTATATGCCAATTTAAAAGTGGTTTATACCAAAAATTCAAAATCAAAAAAAGCTGATGAAAGGATTTCAAACAAAAAAAAAAATCATGTTTTTGAGAAGCTAAATCCTTTTTCCAACAACATGTGAGTGCTTACAGCTCATAAGGCATATGTCTGCCTACGAAAGTAAATTTCCCAGCATTCTTTAGTTCTTCCTCTTCATCTTCACTGGAGAGGCTCAAAACCTCTTCCATTGTAATGTAGTCCTTCAGTTTACTAGCAACTGGTAATGTCTCCACATTTTTGAGAAACGGATGCCTCACAAACTGTCTGACATGGCATCGGCAAATTTCTTGTAAGGACAGCGGAGTCTTCAAACTTTTTGAAAAAATCTCCAAAATTTCCTTCTTCTCCTCAGCAGAAAAGTGTGTCATTAATTCCTGTGAAGTCCTCAAAATGTTGGATAAAAGTTTGATAACGCGCCCTGGTCTTTTACTGTAACATTTTAAGTACAAATTAATTAATTCAATGTTTTTGTGAGTGAGTGCTAAGAATAGGGGTTCCAGTTCAAAATGAGGGTGAGAATCCTGGTACAGAAGACAACACACCATCAGTTTCTTCTCTCTACAGTGAGACTCAAGGTCACAGCCATTCTTGATTAGAATCTTGGCAACTCTGGTACTATTCTCATTTGTGGCTGACATAATTGGAGTCATTCCTTTCTCATTCATCTGTTCAACACAATTGAAATATCAATATATACTGATACCAACTCTTGTTTATAAATTCAATTTAGATAAGTACCAAACAGAAGAACTAGCAAAGTAGAGTTATCTTTCTTGATACTATATGTACCCTGTGTATTAAAAATACTTGCTGCACAAAAAAACTTCTCTTTTTTTTTTACCATTTCTTACAATTTCACAATTAGAAAATAACACATTTCTTTTGAAAAAAAACATGAACTTAATAGCACAATTATGATGTGCACTGGAAATTAACACTGTATTTGTGAAATTGCCTACTAGTGGTGTTCCAATCATCTATTATAATCGAAAATCAGTCAATTGCTGGCATAAACTAAGCGCTCGATTACAAAATTTTTATTCCGATTATCGGGTTATTTTATTTTACAAGCTTAATAGTTTTTAAGCCGAATATTCCAGCCACGACTTGTCTATTAACTTATTTGTGTATTGTAATGGCGCAGACAAACAGACATTGTATTCATACCCGGGTAACAACACTCATTCCCGGGTATGGAGGTACTTTGGATTCTACAAAATGAACGAAGAACCAGCTGGACTACATAGAATGTTCTATCATTAAAATGATATTGTCCCAAGGGCTTGTCCCGATACACAGTTAGATTATTCTAACTACAGCTGGACCACCACAGAAAGTAGTTATTCACCCATTCTTACCATTTCATAAACTAAATTGACAGACTTTGTAAATGTACGATTATAATTGTTAATTAGTTAGTTACATGTACAGTAGTCAGATCATCGATTATGACATTCTTACCGATTCCCATCACTAGTGCCTACCCATTCAATCATCCTTTAGCAGTCTACAAGCTTCTCCAAAACAAGAATAATGCAGAGAGCACAAAAAGATTACTACTTGTGTAAGTATTTGAAATGTGATTATCAGCTTCTAATAAAATCATTAATGAACAACCTTATCAACCCTTTGAAATAAAAACAATGATCCAAGGATACCATATTTAATTTGCAACAGCATTATTTAAAGAAATGATACCTGGTACTTACCACATGTATGTCACAGTTAGCATCAATCAGCTGTTGTACGATGTGGGAGAAATTGCTGACTGTAGCTACATGGAGAGGGATGGTAGAGGCTTTGGTACCCTTGGTGCTGACCGTTGGGAGGGACAGTAGCTGCTCTACCACCTGTACATTACCTTTCTCACAGGCCGTGTACAGAGGAGTCTGGCCTCTAGCATTTCTGGCATTGACATCACAACCTATAGTATACTAATTACTATTCAATATCAAAACATTTAATGGCCTGTTTGCTTCTTAGATATGCCAAGGAGCAGAGAAGAAGGTTTACAAACAAATAATGCATTTTCACTATATAACCTGTATTAGTTTTGTACCGATAATCAGAAAACATCGATTGTCAACGAAAAAATGCTACCGATTCCGAAGATCGATTATAATCTTTCATAATCAATCATCGGAAACATACTTCTAATACAATACATTCCGGAATTATCCATTTCTGGTTTAAAATTTATTTCTTCTTAATGAAAGAAAATGGCGTCTGCATCTGATACAAGCTAACTAGCACGAAGCAGAGATGATTAAGAACCGAAAGGTGCATATATATACAAAGTGTAAGAGAAGCAAAACAACAAAGAAAATAATATATTATATATTTTATATTATTTATTCATGTTAAAGAAATAATATGAAATAATTGTAATAGTCTGCTTTTTATATACAAAACTATGGCATCCGATTATAATCAGTAAAATCGCATCGGAAGCAGTAAACGATTCCAACCGATGATCGATCATAATATGAAAATTAACCGATGTCCCATCACTAACCTGTATGCCATGGCCTAAAACCATAACCCATGACCTAAGGACCATGAATTTGACATTTTAAAAAGAGACATTTGCTCATCAGAACCATGCACTTAGTTTGCTTGCTCAAAATCCAGGAGCATAGAAGAGGATTTTCAAATAATTAATGCATTTTCACTATACATGTATAATCAATAGAACACCACCCTAACACCATAATACCTGACCTAGGGAAAAGGCATCCTTGATCATTATAACCATGTACTTAGTTTGTTATGCTAAATATAAAGGGTGCATGAGAAAAGAAGCTTTTTAAAAATTCATGCATTTTCACTATATTATCAATAAAGCCCCACCCTACCTCCAGAACTTCTGACCTCGGGGCCATGAATTTCACAATTTTGGTAGAGGGATAAATGCTTATTACTATCATGCCAACAGTTCAACTGCTTGATAACCAAAAGTAAAGAAGAAGATTTTTTTCAAGATTGCATTAATTTTGATGGTTTTAGCCCTCCCCCCCCCCCCCCCCCCCCCCCCGACCCAACGGGGACAGGGATCATGAAATTCAAAATCTATGTTCCTCTTTACCCATAGATGCTAAATACCAAAATTGGTTAACATTAGCTCAGCAGGCTGAAAATTTTCAAAAAGCTTATGAATGAAGCACAACGATGGACATAAACACATAGCAATAGGTCACCTGAGTGACTCAGGTGACCTAAAAAAGCAATACAGCCATGAATGAATAAGTCAAAGACATGGACATCATTTTCTATGTACCAATATGTTTCTAGATTGAAACACCTGTAATACCTGAGTTAATGAGGAGGAGTGCAGCTTCCGTGTAATGTTGAATTATGGCTTCATGAAGAGACGTCAGTTGTTGGGATTTCTCCTTCATATCCAGGCTACTCCCAGCATTGATCAAAGCCTTGACTATCTATGAATTTACAATTTAAAAATTTAAATAATAAGTTACTTTTAATAGTCGATTCAAGTATAGGAAAAACATATTTTAATTGTTAACAGACATCAATTATAGTTAACACATGACTCTGGACTTCCACTTAGTAATCTGAATACAAATGAAAATGTCAGCCTGTCATTTGAGACCAATTGGTGATGAAACTATAATATATATATATATATATATATATATATATATATATATATATATATATATATATATATATATATATATATATATGCACTGCACTATATTATCAGGTAGAAATTAATGATTTCATTTTTTTCAAAATATATTTACCTTGATGTTGACTCTGGACAAAATTGCTGAAAACAATGAACTCTCCCCTTTTTTGTTGACCTCATTCACTCTGCAACCTAAAATCAGATTTTAATATTGTCATTTTCTCTGATGAGAATTCTATACACAATGTATCTTGTATGGTGTTTCTAATGGAAAATAAGAAAGTCAACTTTACATTTCAGTTTTTCAGATATGCATAGTTCCAACGTGATTACCAGCAGCTATCAACAAATCCACAACTGTGTTATTGTTTCCATAAACCCCAGCATGTAAAACTGTATCTCCTGATATGGTAGCTATGTTGACATCTGCCTTCTGATCTAACATTAGGGTAGATAACTCTTCAAAGATACAGATTTTTCTTTTTCAATAAAGAAAACTATAATATAAACTCTTTATACCTAATTAATATATTATAAATCAGAATATGTGAATGCCCAATGTTATCTTTGTTCTTATGTTTATGTAATGCAAATGGCACAATTCATATTGTTATACCTCTGAAAATTGTTTCCTATATAATTCTATACTTTAAAAAGTCTAACATTTCCAATGCTTTACTGAGCGGTCATAAAAAAAATCGATGTTTGACCATAGAGCGAGATATTGCACCTGTCAATGAGATGTTGGACCGCTTATGTCACAGTGTGGGCAGGGTCAGATGTATCTTATTTGCATTCATTGGAGTTTGACAGAACTTTACGGAATTGACGAAGTTTAAACCGCGGTGTGGGTAAACAAAATTTACATCATGATATGTCAAAATAAAAAGTAAAAGGTATAACAAAACATTTATAGACTGTGTTCTCAGCCAAAATGCCTTTTGTCGACCCCTCAAACCAAACTATTTGCCTTCTGCCTGACGGCCTCAGGCAAACAGTTTGGTTCTTGGGTCCGACAAAACAAATGTTGCCCTCAAACCCAATTAATAAATGTAAAATGCTATACTTGCCTCACAAGGAAATCAGCTATTCATATTGTAGTAAAAACTTTCATTACAATACAAAAATGCTTGTAAATTTATGTAATACCAGTACTGTATTGTATCATGTACATCACTGGTATGTGTACCTCTAAAGCATGCATGCTGCCCTTGTACCTAAGTTTCCTGCAAAAGCACTCTGATACAGTGGGGTCCACCCTTGGGAATCCTGCTTATTGATATCAGCTCCTCTGTTGATCAACTCCTTCACAATCTCCATGGCCTGCTGGTCAAACTCTCGACCAAACACACTAGACACTTCAAATTCGTAAAACATTTTCTTTAAAGGAATTTTAGTCACAACTTTAAAACTGTACAGTTGTCATCTTTTCTTGATAATATTAATCTCCAACTACATGTTGTTGAACTTGAAAAGTTTCTTTTACAAAAAAGTACTGCACACATATGGACAGTAAAAGATACAATACTGGGACCAAATATCTCATTTCTATGGCAAATGCTAGTGTCTAATAGTAGAAATAAAATGCCATATTTACTAAATTAGTTTGACAATATTAGAAAATCTATGAAATGATTTAAACCTTGTCGGATTGCAGCATGAATTGGAGCTTGATTGTGCTTGTCAATTTGGTTGACATCTGCTCTAGCCTGAATCAGGGCTGTGGCGGAGTTCCAATGGGACCCTGATATAGCCTCTGAAAGTGCCAGAAATCATTCAACGTGAGAGACATTAACTTATTAGTCCACTACAACTTATTCAAACTTTTTTCTTTAGCTTGTTTATTTACTGGGGATATAAAACTGAATTCATTCTTTCAAGAAATGTTGTTCATCGAATAGGAAGTGCCATGACTTTTTATTAAGACAGTGGCTTGTATTGAAATTTCAAATTCATTAACAATATCCCTGACCACATGCACTACTCTTGGTCTGCATGATTTTCTATCCCAATTTACATGTAAAGAAAATACACAGGTACCATTTTCGTAAGATTTTTAAGCCTATCAACAGCTGCATTGAACTTCTGATAAACTTTCACCAAAAAACAAAGATGAACTGATGCAACAAATGACACAAGTACATGACTGTATAAGTTTGCTCTAGATACTGGCCAAATATTTAATTGGAAAGTAAGTTAGCTAGATTTTTCAGTTAGGAAGTCAATGTTTGAACACCGGTATGTCTAAACAGTGTAACAGTTCCAAAATTTAGGAAAAAAAATGTGAAAGATATAATTTCCTAATTATCTATTTTTTCACTGAAGGATGGGAGAGAATTATTCTGGTGAGGAAACTATGCCCCTGTAAATTCATATGATATTATTATTATTTCCATGTAATTTCAGGAGCAAAAGTCAATTTAAAGAATAGATTCAGTGAACAGTTTGAAATGTTCTCTTTTAGTATCAGTGAGTGTGATTTTTTTTTTTTTTATATATATATATATATAAATGATTAGTTTTAGATGAGAAAGTTGAATAACTCTTGGGGTGTGGAGTGGGAGTTGGGGGAAAGGGTCCCATCCCTAGGCACCTGTGCTTACTTGAAGGTCTTCTGATAGGTGTTTCACAAAACCTTGCCAGATGAACTCATGTGTATTGTCACATTTTTTGCCCCCCCCCCCCCATCCATCTCCCCAAAAACCTTAATTTACTTACCTATAAGAGGTACCTTGCCACTAGTTGTAGTCAGATTGACATCTGCTCCATGATTGGCTAGTTCTTTAATGATATCACTATGACCTTCATTGGCAGCCAATAAAATTGCTGTTTCACTGGATCTATTCTTTAAATTGACTTTAGCTCCTGAAATTACATGGGAATGATAGTTATAAAGTTCAGTTAAATTCACAAATGTAGATTTTCAAATTGATATAATTAGGGATGGCAACAGAATGAAAAATTGCATTTAAATGGACAATAGTACATTAAGATTTTTGACAGCAAAATTTTAAGCAATTTACAAAAAAAAAAAAAAATAAAAATAAAACTAAGTTTACATAAAGGATCTTCCATGGTTTGTGGTTGGATGTGAATTTTTTCTAACAAGTTATGTGTTGGTTTTTTTTATTTTTTATTCCTGAGCCTTGGCAAGGGAATAAAAACACAAAACGAGTTGGATACATCATATCTAACCACAAACCATGGGAGATTCATTTTATCACAGGATTTACACATAATGGTCATGTGTTTTACACATATTTTACATATGAATCCACTTTATTTGACTTCATAACTTTTGCACAGAAACAATTGTGAAGTCACATCTTAACAGATAGCAAACGCTTGATTGGTTATATCGTTGTGACCTATTAATCAGTAAAATGGTTTGCAATTGCCATCCCTCTGCTTAATGCATTTAAATCCAAAAATGTAGAATTAACATTTCAACAGACAACAAAGTAAAATTAATTGCTACTTATCTAAAAATTAATGACAATTATTAATAATTTTTAATTTTATCTTCAAACTTTAATCATGCAGTAGGGTCCAAAACTAAGGCTGTATTGCATGAAAATAATTTTTATATGAACCTTTATCAAGAAGAATTTTAGCCACTTCTGTGAAACCAAATTCACTTGCCACCATGAGAGGTGACTTGAAATCTGTATCAATGAAGTTTATATCACATCCAGCATCAACCAGCCTTTGAACACATCCAACATGTTCATTCCTTACTGCAGCATGTAATGGAGATTGACACTGAGCATTTGGAAGGTCAAGGTCACATTGTGAATCCACTAGGACACTGACAATATCCAGATGCCCTTTATAAGCAGCAGTATAAAGTGGGGTTGATTCATGATCATTTTGAGCATTGAGGTCTGCTCCACTTTTGACTAGTAATTTAACAATATCTGTGAGCCCTTTCCAACATGCTGTGTTCAATACACTGTTTTTCTGAGCATCAGAAACATTGACATTTGCACCTTTCTCTACCAGTTTCTTGCATATTTTGTATTCGCCTTCTTTCACTGCCAGCTGAAGTGCTGTCTGACCCCTATACTGAAAATCAACTTCAAAATCCTCTTCTAGTAATTCCTGGATTTTCATTTGGTCTTTCTGAATGATGGCATCTTGAAGTCTTCGAATTCTCCTCCTCTTTTCTCTTTTTTCAAATCCATTGCAAGATTTATCTGAAAATGAACAAAGGTTTTTCATGAACACTTGGGACTTGGTCAAAATGTGACTTCAAGTGCATACATTGTTCAAAAATTTATCAGGCTTATAAAATGTATTTTCAGGTAACTAATTTACAATATCCATTATTTACCAAGACTGTGTGGTATGTGAGAAAAAAGCGGAGGTGCACTCTTTGCAACCAAAAAAAAAAAAGTAAAGCAATATATTTTGCCCTCCACACCTCAGCATTTCATTTTGTCCCCTCCACAGGGAATTGAGACAATCTTAGCAAAATCGGGTATATAGTATAATAGTAGGTAAACCTTTTTTGTGTAAGTACATTTATTTATTTATTACATTGGGTTGGAAATTCGTCTGCACATTTTACTCGTTTTAGCATGCCATGCATTCTTTCCCTTATAAGGGCTTGTTTAATTTGCACTGCATTAAAAATGAAATAAAATTCATTTTAAATTTATCTACAAGACTGATATAAAAAAAAGCAGACAAGGGGGAATTAATTGCACAGTTTCTGAAATACCTTGCGATCTATCGCGGATACGTAGTTCACCACCGTCAGTCATAGCGCAGGAGTTATCTAACTTGTCTATTTTCGGAGTCCCTCTTATTTTTTCATGAATTTTGATTAGCTCGTTCCATAAAATATTCAATCAAATCGATTCCCCCACTGACTGCAAATAAAAATATTCAGTCAAATCGATTCCCCTACTGACTGCAAATAATACTCAGATTAATGATTAAGATAGAAGGGGGAGGGGAAATTTTTTTTATTTCAATACAAAAAAATCATAATTATATAATAACATTCCTCCCTCTACCTTACACATGTACATTAAAAGTTCAAACTAATTTATCATTAGATTTTGTTGTTTTTGAGAAAAAATAAAATCAATTCATTATATTGCAGTGCATAAATATCAAGAAATTCCAACATTTTATTTGTTTTGTTTTTTAAAGGATAAACGACGTTGGAGGGTTCGAATTTCACCCCTGGAACTTCACTAAAAGCATTAAATTTCTTTTTAATTAATTGTACATGTGTAATAGGGAATAGGGAAACAAACAATACTCAGTACATACTTAAGTTTTCCATGAAAAACTAGAGAAAAAAAAGAAGAAGAGAAAAATGAATACAATTCATTGACTTGAAATCTCACCAATGACTGGGTAATTCCTGCATAAATTGAATTACTTTTAGTTCAGTGGTGTTAATTTAGATTCTGGCCATAGGAAGCAATTTCACTTTGGGGTCATTGGACACAATTAATATTGAAGGTGCACATCCATCATTAAGTAGCATTGTTTTCTATTGTATAATATGTAATGGTAAAATTATTGGGGGGGGGGGGGGTCCCTCCCAGTATTCTATGGGCCTGAGATTTAAGGTTTCAGATATGTTAGATATGTGACCCTTATAAAGTAAGCTAAATAATTAAATCAAGGGGCTTACAACACCAATATCCATTTCAAAGGTTGATTGAGTCATTGAATAAAATAGGTTCAGGAAAATTTAATCTCTCTTTTTTGCCAAGTAATTCATTCTAGTCCTATCAATCTGTCCATTTTACTCATTATTGCCAGCCACATGGTTATTCCATGGTTGAATTTCTTCAAGAATCCTTACACATACTTTTGGGCATAAATATACTAATACTATCTAACAGATACACCTAAGAAAAAGTGTATTAATATCTTATGGGTAATGACAAATACTACCTTTTTTCCAGCTAGGTATGCTTATTCAATGAACAAATATTATCCTTAAAAAAAAAAACAACAAACAAACCAAAACTCACCATTCATAAAATTTAATAATAAGATTTTATATAACTTGTTAGTGTTCAACACTTATTTATGAAATAATTTTTTAATCACTTTGGCTCAAAATATACATACAGTAATCTACTAACTAGAAAATACAGACCAATATCAAATTTTAAAAAATACACAAAGTTTACAAACATTAATATCAAGAAATAATTGAGGTATATCTATACATGGTTGGTCTTCTTAATACTTAAGTCATTTAACTGACACATTTTTGGGGGGTCTACTTAATACTTAAGTAATTTAACTGACACATTTTTTTTTGGGGGGGGGGGGGTGTCTACTTAATACTTAAGTCATTTAACAGACACATTATCTATTAAATGTGACAAAATTGTGACACAATGGACAAATTTGACATCAAATCATTATTTTCACTTTGATAAAATGAAATTTGAAACTTTTAGAAACCAACAAGGGCAAACTCTATGATGCTCAAATTCAAGGTGATCCTGAAACATAAATATATATATCACAATATTTAAATTTAATCCTATTAGTCTGCCTTTAATTCTTCTTCCATTGCAGAGTACTGGGCCCTGAGTTCTGCCATCTTTAGTCCAATTGTTCTTGTTACTTCCTTTTTCTGATTTTCGTTTAATTCTTTCAGAAATTTTTCATACAGTTTAATCGTTTCAGCGACGGCCTTTGACGCCTCTTGCATGTCTTCTGAGAAGTACACAGTGTTCATGCTTTCCTGCTGTAAAAGTAGAAAAATAATAAGAAATGTTTTAAGAACACATATGCCCCTATATGGCATTATTGAAAAGAGTCATTTTAAATTTAGAATGTCCGAAATGATATTGGAAAATACGGATATCATCTTACTAACCTACTTGTTATGGGCAACATAATTTATAAGGCCAAAGTTTTTATTTTTTTTTGGTTTACGATTTTCTGTCTCAAAAAAATGCATTGGGTGGTCGAAAAATAAAAATAAAAATAATTTAGGATTCAACAGTTTCATTTTAAAATACCAGCAATGTTTATTTTAATAAAAACTAGAAAACTGACCAGTCAGCAAGGGCCCCGCCAAGGGGTAGAAATATAAGGGTGCAGCTTGGAGAATGATAATTTTAACTGATTACAAATATTTAAAAATACATAAAGAAGAATATGCAATAACAACTGTATTTATAAAATTTCAAGATAATTCCTAAATATCCAACAACCTGTAAAGAATATCCCTGTATTTACATAAGGCAGTAAAAAACATCATATCTATAATAACTCAATTAAATATATATTTAAACAAGAATAAAGCATGTGTTTTATAAAATGCCAGCCTTCAGTGAATGCAAATATCACCCAGGCTTGACCTTAACTTCAAAACAAACATCAGTTGCAGACAAAGGTTAATTTATCTTAAAGTGACAAATAAAGATAAGCCTGGAAAATTTCTGCCCCAGACAAGAAAATTAATCCCTGGGGATTAACTGTACTGCTCTCTCATCCTTTTCTTCCAAGTTTACAATAAGAACTTTTTCAGTAATGATAGAATGAGTTTATTATCAGACTACCTGTTAATAGTATTCTTGAATTTACATATGGCAGCAAAAAAAAAAAAAAAATAAATAAATAAAAAGAGAAAAAAAAACATATCTTGATGTATATCTTGTTTTTAGAATTCAATAAAATCATAACTCATCATGTATTTTACCAAAATAAAGTATGAACATTATATAAATCCACATTTCAGAGAATGTAAACATCACTCAAAATTGACCTCAACTTCAAAACAAACTTCATTTGCAGACAGAGGTGTTAATTGATCTCAATTTGACAGAAACAGACAATGCTTTGGATTTTCTTCAAGAGGAAAGTTAATTAATCCCATGGGACTAGTTGCAGCTTTCATAGTTTACAATAGGAACATTCTCAGCAGTTATCTCTCTTTGTCCTGGCATTCATTCTAATGTAAATTTAAGGTATCAACCCCACCACCCCAGCTCCAAACTGGATGACACAGAGAACCAAACTTAGCATCAAAATATGTCTTACTGCCTCTTCAACCAACATACCAAATTTGAACTTAATTGGTCAACTACCAAAAAAGTTACTAGAAAAAAAAAACAGAAAATTTGTGGATGGAAGAATGACAGACGGACAGACAGACAGACGGACAGACAGACAGACAGAGTGATTACTATAGGGCACCCGCAAATCCTTGCGGGGCCCTAATAATACACGTCAATAGTACTTTTAAGTTTTATTGTCTAGATCACATAACTCTTTTTATTTAATTTTGATTCATTTCTAACTTTAGACTGAATGTCATTTTCATTTACATATAGTTCTGATTTTTGTTTGTCAATCAGTGCATGGTTCATGATGTTCAACTTCTTTTTGTGCTCTTCAGTGATAAGTGATGTGTTATAAACCTCGGTATGCCCACAAACTAAAAATAAGGATCCAAATTTAAATCAATTTAGATTGAAGAAAAATACAATTTAATTGTTTAACAATATCAAAAGTAATTGACATTGAAATAAAGGTTATAATAATTTGATCATGCAGCTATCAAATTTAATGTTCAACCTGTGGCACAAAAGCCTAATAATTTCTCAATCAAGTCCTTCTTTAAATTTTTGTTAGGCCAGGTAAAATTAATCTTTAGATTCTCATCCCCGCCCGCCCCTCTCAAAGTGCCCCGCCCCGTTGTTTTTTATTTTGTTTTTTGGATGCCAAGCGTATTATTTTCATGTATTTTTATGCAGCAAGAATCTGGGTCAAAATTTAAGAGTTATCTCCCGTCTGTATTAAAAGTCGCGTGGCGCTATTTATAGCCAAAAAAAACTATGTGAAGAATGGAGAAATATCGGCAATAAAAGCAGTTTAAATACGTAAGGAAAAGATAATTTGTCAGTAAAGAGAAGGCAGAAAAGCAAAAATAACATATAAACACATCTAGATACCATCACTGGCATGGGCAAGTTTTTAAAGAGATTTTAACCAAGTAAAAACAGACGAAGAAAATACACATGGTCAAGTTTTAAATAACGATCTCCAGTTGTATGTGATTTTGCATTAAAAAAAATAATAAAACATCGTCCAAAGACTTTAGAGAATAATAGTGCTAAGGAAATGTTAAATCTTAAAACTGTTAAGGCCTAGGCTTTTCAGTAGAATATTTTACAGATTTACACAATCCTGTTTTTGTAAATATGATATATTTTAATGTCGAACATGTCAAGTCTCAAGAACGATTGAATGTATGAGGACAGTAGAAGTCTGTGATATCTGTATATCACACAGAATAGAAGGAGTTGTTGGTAAAACTATAAGGTATTTGGGGAAAGGTCGCTGAGAAAACATGCATATGCAATTTATTAGGATCAGCACCTCATTTTGTTTGGCGTGTGCCGTATCTGTGTACTTGATTATTTGTTAATAAAACTATAAATATTTTAATTTTCTATAACAAGAATCTTCTGTAGATATTTAAAAGAATATGAAAACGATAAAATTTATTCATATTGGCATTAACATAATGTAAAAATTATGTGTACGAATGTTTTGTTGATACATTCATTTATAAAAAATAAAAAATAAAACCCGCCCACCCGCCCCATTTTTTTAGCAAATTAGGATGAGAATCTAAATTTTAAATTTATATGGCCTTATGTACCTGCACAGTAGGCAATGCTCATTATTTTCTTAGTAATTCAAAGGGCTTTGATCTCAATTGAGTATGAAATTTGCAAAGATTTGTATATTGAATTTACTTCTATAAATTAACAAATGTTTTATACACATTTGAACTTATCCAGTGAAATACCAGTCAGCGTTACTTCAACTAAGATGTATCTCTCAGCACTAAACTGGTCTAACTATTATCCATGGATTTATCAGCCTATTTTGGGAAACACCATTTTTGGGGAATTGGGAATAAATTATCGGCTATTTGATGAAATTGGAAAAAAATTTTAAAATGTTACTTAAATCCTGTATTCAGGGGTAATTCTTTTAACATTTCAGCATGAACTCTAATTTGGGCAACCAAACGACAATTAAATATGATCCATCTTCATCATACAAGATCAATTATGAATAATAGACTAATGAAAGTAAATTGGACTTCAATGAGTGTAAAGCAGTTATACAACGTAGGGTTATACATGTGTGTATGAGATTTCAATTTAGATCATATAGTATCTGTTTCAAGAGATTATAAACCTCCTGCACAAATACTAAGTACACATTTTCTAAAAGTCCTCTTTTAATATGTATTAATGCATTGAAAATATATTTTTCTATTTGAAATAATGCCCAAAGTCCTTACCATTCAGTCAAAGATCAATTGAATAGGTGGAAATAACTTAATAAATCTATATAATTACACAATATCATCATTTTTAGAAAAACGGAGGAAATTCGGATTAAAAGTTGGCGATGTTTTTACAGTGTTTTTAAACATGTGTTATGACTGTAGCTTTGCTAAATGAGTTAAATAGATGAAAATTACAGACAGTCTGACAATTTCACTTTGTGTTTTTTCAAGATAATTAAAAATAAAAGCATTGTTCACCAATAGATAGTTTTCATATGGCGAATTTTCCCTCTGAGTTATTCCCCTTGGCCGCCATTTTGGTGGTCAACCTGGTAATTTTTCCTCTTTGTCTTTCCAAATCAAAGAGAGTGTAGCAGAAATATTTGGGGGGAAATCTTTATAGAATAAAAATTATGAAATAAAGGAGGCTTTAACAAATGTATATATTTCAGAAAAACAATGCTTCCTACCCCACAATGGCCAGTATAAAAAGTTAAAGTTGGTTGAATAATGAAGGAATATGAGCATGTTGACCCCCAATATGGCGGGCAACGGGAAATAACTCTTGCTAATTTGGGCCTACTGAAAACTATCTATTGGCAAAAAATACTGCCAAATTGGGAAAAACTGAACTCATTTTCAATTGGGCAATTGTACATGAGAAGGCACTGATAAATCCCTATTATCTATAGGTGTAACCGTGTCTGCTAGTGCTAGGTCGATCAGGGTTGGGCATACACTCTCCAATATTACGGTATGAATTTAGCCAATTGAGACATTGCAATTGGAGAAAGGGATCATGCATCCAAGATTTTATTCACTTTTCCATGCAGAAAAAGTTCTTTAAGTGTATGTCATTGCTTTCAGCGAAGAATTACCTTGTTACACAGCTGTTACATGACAGAACCGCCATTTTTGGTCTGCACATGTGTTTATTTACGGTCACCTAAATGTTTATAAAGGTCTCATATATTTATAAGCGCTTATTCGACTAAGATGCATTCTAAAATTTAAAACCCACCAGTTCAGCTGAGAAAAATCCGGAAAAATATGTCGGAAAAAGACATTATTTTTATTTTCATGATTGGTGAAAATTAGGGTCGGCGGAATCGTACACCAAACGAAAAAAAACTTTGGCCTAAGTTTGATCTCTATCAGACCTTGCTAACATTAGGGATGATTTACTTTGTAGAGGGTACCAGTGTGTTAAGTTTGATGCCTGTCAGGTAAAGTTTTTCAAGAGCAGTCAATATCTTTCTCTGTCTATTTTAACTTTGACCCTTGACCTTGTGACCTTATAATCAGTAGGGTTATCTACTTCTTAGAGGGAACCAGTTTACCAAGTTTGATGTCTGCCAAGCAAAGAAATCTGAAGATATTGCGTGGCCAATATTTTAATATACCAGTATCTAGTTTGACCCTTCACCTTTGATTTGTGACCTCATAATCAATAGGGTCATGCCATCTACTTCTTAAAAGGAACCAATGTCAGTCAAACAGAGGGTTCTGAAGATATTGAGCTGATAATATCTTTTTATGTCTTGAATAGTTTGACCTTTGACCTTGTGACTTCAAAATCTATAGGAGTCATCTACTCCTTGGGGGTGGGGAGAGTGAACAATAATGTGAAATTTGAAAATACATGTATAAGAAATCACAAGATTTTGAACATTTGCAAATCTCCATTATTTATGTCTCTGGTCTTCTCAAACAGTTCACTGCTGTGATGTCATGTCATATCACTGTGTTGCATTTTGATCCAAAAAATGAAACAAATCAAATGTTTAAATTAAATACAATGTTTTTAATATAAACAAATTTTTATAAACATTTTTTTCACACTGAATTATGCATTGTTTTCAGAACAAAACAAAGTTGAAACTATATCACAGGATCAAAGTTTTTTACATGCTAAAAGTAGCTATTTCTACCTACTTTTTCCTGTCTTTTAAAATAAAAAGACATTCAAAATAAATAGTAATTAAGGTGCATCTGTAAAACTGGTCAGACTTGTTGTTTATCATGTTGTTACTAGCAATTGCAAATCTGGGTAAACATTACAAGGGTGGAGACTGAAGAGAAAATACATGAAGAGTCGTCCCCCCAAAAAAATGACATTGCGCACAACACATCGCTGATGCCAAACTGGATGTGCTGGGCAGTTTAGCAGGGTTCTCACTAGGATTTTGCTAACTTGAGTCCCAGGACTCAAGATTTCTGAGAAGGTTGCGTCCCAGCTAAATTTGATGCGTCCCAGAATAATTATGTTGAGTCCCAACTAAATTATTGCAGTATCCCTCCATCCAAACATCAATATAAATCTTTATCATTTTATCAGTTTGTTTACGCAATATTAACATATTCAAGTATATAAACTGGTAATGCATTCAAGCCATATTCTAAAATACACGCGTAATCAATTGCCATAAAAATTAACTTGGTGTTTATAAAGCTAAAATTAACTGTTGCATAATCAACTAGTACCCGAAAGTTGACTGTATACAATCACAGGTGTCATGTGCAATGAGGCGTAACTAATCCTGTCGGTCGTCTGCACTGGGTGAAATTCACGAGATAATCAAGCCGCATTGTGTATACAAGCAGTAATTATGGTTTCTACATGTAGATAACACTCAAGATTCAAAAGTGTGTGTGGTTTTTTTTTAAAAAAAAAGCTGCAGTGTGTTTACAGCTGTCGGAGTTTGGCATGCGACATTATTATGACTATGGACTAATAAACATGAAGTATCTTAATTATGATCAATCCCTGTTTTAAAAAAAAAGAGAAATAAGTACAAGAAAAGTTATTTCTTGGATGAACTTTATGATAGTTACAGGAAGGTTTCGATTATATTTCTTTGACAAATCCCAACATCTAAATTCCCCGTTTTTGAAATTACCTGAATTTTCTCGCTAAAGAGGACGCATCCGATCATGAGTCTGCGGACGCATTGTTTTTAAGAACCTTGCGTCCCAAGTAATTTTGCTGCGTCTAGGATGCAGATTCTTGCGTTAATGAGAACCCTGGTTTAGAGTTGTAATTTTTATTCTCGAGTGATTAAGTGTGTAATTTAAAGGTAAATGCCAGAGTTTGCAAGGAAGTGAAGTAAGAAGGTAGATATGAGGTCCAAGAAGGGGGTTTTCCGCTAACCATTGCATGCGTTTTTTTTGGCGAGCTAGGGATGATGAGTAAAGGGATTGAATTGGTGACCACATTTTTTATGAATACCTTGTGTTATTGTATAGTAGTAAACTGGCATACTGTATAAAACATATATTTTTTAAATATTTACAAACGACTGGTACTTATCTATTCTTAAGATAATTAAAACTTACTGCATCCTGCATGAGTTCTCTGGCCTCCATGAAACAATCAGTCAGCTCTTCTGTGCGCTTTTTCACATCATGATCACTTAGATTGGAGTAACAGATTATTGGGACGCGATTATAGCATTGTAACCCATATCTCAATCTATCTCTTGCATGTAAATTCAAAGTATTGTACGTTTTAAATCTGAAAGAAAGATGCGAGAATTGAAGTAACCTGCAAACTATTTTCATGTTGTAGGTTAAATTTATCACCGGAAGCAGATGATGAACACTAAAAAATAAAACAGAACAAGGCGGAGGTTCCATTAGAGACATGATCTAAGATCTAATAAGGATTCTAAATTTAAAAGCCGTTTTCGAAAAGTTTTGCATTTGATATGGATGTGAACTAAATTTACAATAATTTTTAAGGAATGTACAGTTTGAAAATGAAAAAGAAATGTAACACGAATACGACATTGTTTTACTTAGCTTAAATTTTTCGGAACTCCTCTAGGGTTTTATGGAGGAAGTTACGTAAACACTCAAACGCAATGTTTCGATAAGTACGATAAGAACATTAAGATGCAAAAGTACACAAAAGTTTCCTGGTTTATTTTTAAGAAAGGTCAGTAGCTAGGAAGTAAATTTAAATGAAGGAAGAAAAATTTGTTAATAGAAGCAAATTATGTAAATGTAAGTTGCATTATAACCGTGTTTATAAACGAAAGATCAACAACTGAACAGGTAAACGATTTGGTACAAATCAGTGACTTGTTGAGGTACAGTACCTGGTCATAAGTGAGTTATACTTCTATTTTTTCCTCCATATATTTCATTGAAAACTGCACTTTTCTAAAATATTATTGGAGTGTTATTTGTTGCTCATTTTTTTTTTATGACTAAAACACTATTCTTTACAATTTCCTCACATAGTTTCAAAATAATTTTATCTATAGGCTAGGCATTACAGGGATAGCACATGTCAAATGCTAAAATAACAATTTTACTTTTCTAATTTGTTAAGAAATGATATGAATTTGGAGGTTAGAAATTTTTGTCTTGATGATTGATTCAATGAAATCATGGAAATTGAGCTAAAATTGACCCTACAATAAGTTTTTTTTAATAATTTTTTTTTTACTGAAATATATACCGGGTAGTGTGAAAATGCAATTATGACTCATAATAAATTGTTTTATTATAAATCTTTTACATGGTGGAATTTCAGACTTAACAAGGGATATTGGATATGGTGATGATCCTTATTAAAGAAATTTCTCAGTTTTGAGATTTTGTACATTCATTTTTTATTTTGAATTTTTGTAATTGGTGAATTTAGAACTTATTTTGAAAAACAATTTTATCTTAAATTCTAATAAAAATGAAGTTAATTCATTTATGTCCCTCAATAATTGTAATCATTGAAACAATTTAAGACAGATGGAATGAGGTTGCATTTTTTGAAATGTGCTATTCAGATCAAATTAAAAATATAAGAAAAATAAGATCTTTTTTGTGTCCTTAAAATTCCCAATTTCACAGTAAGTTCCTTCACAAATATCATGATAACTGTAATTGTTTTTATCATTAAAATGGCATTTAGATGTCTTAAATGGCATGATAATTATGTATAAACAAATTACTACATCCCTGTATCATGTAAAAACATCAATGATAATTGACCAAAAGTGATGCATCATTCATTTTTATAATAAACTCAAAGATACGAACTTGTGTAGATTCATGTTCTGATTTTGATGTAAAAATGGTTTTAAGGGATTAATTATTATGTTTTCCCTATTTAAGTAGAGATCAAGGTGAACTATCAATGAAACAATAGTTTATTCTACACTTTTCGAAAGTTATGTTCCTTGGCCACCATCTTTGGGAAAAAACCCCATAGAATCCTCACAGTAGCCTTTGTAGTTTGCTGTTTTGTAACTTTGTCATTTGACTGGAAAAAATCTATGCATCATGCATTTTGATTGCCCCAGGATGGGGTTATCCATACATTGAAAGAAAAAAATTAAACACAGTGGATTCATCAGAGCATGCCCAAATGTTTGGCAGCATAAAGAGAAGAAATGTTGTTAATTCTCTCCCTTTTGACCTTTTGGCTGACCCTGCAAAGGGACACAACTTTTGCAAAGTGTGGATTGGACTATTATTCAGCAGCACTAGTCAGTATTTGATGTTGTCGACAGTCTTCTTAACAATGTGAGATCCAACCAATGTTACCCACATTATTGTTGATAAGTTGTTTATGGATTGATTGACTTTATTTTGTTAATGTTTTAAGTAATAAATTAATGATCAAATCAGATCATCATTTCACCTGGAAAGAGCTCCAGAATTTAACAAGCCTGACTGACTTGTAGTTTTGATTATTTCATCAGGAAGCCTGAGACTGATTTTAATAGCTTCGGACCACCGGTTAATTTCGAAGACTGAAAATGAAATTACGACTCCTTTATCATTTGATATCAGGGAACATATGTCTCAGTTGATATGGTTATTCGATTTGTTAAAACTTATTGTTTTTATTTTCATTTCATTTGCATGCATCTAGATAACATTTACATTAGAGACCTCTATGCTCTTAAACCAGTGAAAGGCTTACTGCAAAGTATGCATTTTGTTGGATAAAGGTTAGGATGCACTTTGACTTTCATCCAGGAACTTTAAATCTAAAAATGTATCAAACTAAATGTGACTGTCTATATTTTCATTTTCTAAAAAGGAAATGTAGGGTACAAAATGAAATTCATATAAATTTACAACTCTGTATGGGGCAAAATTTGAGACATAAAATCTAATCAGGATCTTAGAGTTATATCTCTCTTGGAAGAGTGTTGTCTCCCTTTATGCATTGGAAGACTTGCTCAGTGGATGGTATGACCCGCTGCTGCAGTGCTATCAGTCAATGATACCCAACTACACTGGTATTTGACTATTTGTATTAATTTAATCAGACCTGTTTTGTGTTCAACATGTTATTGATATTTGGTAACATATGATTGGAAAGCGGAAACAGGTATTTACAGTAAATATTAAATAATATGATCAGTGAAAGAGCATGCAGGTTACAACATCAACTTATAAAACAGGATTTACCACAACAAATGTTTCCTATGCTACAATGCATAGTAGCAAGATGATCCATTTCAAACCTGTTAGTACAAAGAGTAGCAGTTTAGGGATATGCAATAAACTAATTAATAAAGTAATACTAAATAATAAAGAAACAAATGATTCATATACCTGGTTCAAGATCAAAGGCAAGTGGTGCAAAGTGCTGCTTGCAAATAGAGCTCTATAGAGTTAGACTAATGTGTAAGAACAGAGAAAATTCAAACTGAAACCTGCACATTTGACAAGCAAATTTTTGTGTGAAACTTTCTAAGAATTCTTTCGTTACCACAATTCCGTGCCGTGATAGCAAATAACATGGCAGTATGCAGTTATCATAATTCTTAAAAAGACCTTAAAGGAAACCAAAAATAATATTGCATTTACTCTACCTTGCATTAAAAAGCACTAATTAATTACCGGTAGACTCCCTTATGGAAATGCATCTTCGGTAATCCACGGGTAATTCACATCGATTCTCTCTTGTGGACTCGAAACCGTGGTTTGCGACGATGATGGAAGTCCAACTAGCATACTATGTCAAAGTTTAGATCTTTCAAATGTCTTATGTGGTTTGAAGAGGAGGATCAAAGTTTAATGTAATCTAGTTCATTAAGTTTGACATATAATCTAGGCCCTCCCTATGTAAAGGTTTTTGATGGTATCTAGTAAAAAATACAACCACTAAGCTCACTCCCTTCAGTAATGTCGTAAAAATTATATAGGAGGTGCCCTCTGGAAAGGGAGTATGTTCATCCTCCTTATCTTAGTCTTCTAAATGTTTGCCACTTCCTCTTTATAAAATATAAAAACTTGGATGTCCACTAACTGATTGAACAGTCTTGATTGAACGGATACATGTGTGGCAGTCAGACCAGTTAGATCACTAGTGGCCAGATAGCTCAGTAGAGCACAATGTGGCGGTCAGAGGGTTCGATCACCAGTGGCCAGATAGCTCGGTAGAGGACAATGTGGCGGTCAGAGGGGTTCATTCACCAGTGGCCAGATATAGCTCAGTTGGTAGAGCACCTGACTGGCGATTCAGGGGGCCCGGGTTCGAATCCCAGTCTGGTCCATTGTATATCTCTCCTGTCCTGTTACACATGTATATGGGAATTAAATATTAACAGTTTTTACTTTTTATGGAAAATGAGCTAAGTCATTACACCGTGTTCACACAATTATTTTGATTTGAACTGTAATTCTCTAATGTAGCAAATTAGCTGAAGCAGAGTCAGCTATAATACTAAAGTTTTAGTAAAACCTTTTACCTTAAATTTCTAACATTCTTTAAGTTAAAAACATCTCTTTGTCACTATGTGGAAGATGTTTGGGAAATCATCAAAATGACGTCAGATTTAAAATTCATGTCTGATAGAAAGCAAATGAATTCGATTATCAGCTCTTAATTTGAAAATTTGTATGCTTCAGTCGTAGTACCTGACATATGTGAGCTGTCGTCCATGAAAAATCCGATTTAATAGCTTTTTGATTTAATGGTATATTGTACAATTAAAAAAATATTTAACTGAAGTGTAACGTGTTTCTGTAGTGGATGTTTATGATGTTTGTTGAAGTGAAGATATAACCCCTTAAGGTGTTTCTGGTCTGCATGCACTTATTGGCTAACAACTAACTTATAGAACAATTAACATATGAATTCAACAAAAAATCCCTAGGAAACAGTTACTAGAATTTTGTGTTATAAAGAGCTTGTCCAGAAATGATCTTATTAATTCTTAATTTATTGTTCTTGTGCCAAATTAAATATTTTGACTTGTTTCCAGACTGGGCTTTATGCATGTTATGCAACACACTGGACAGATTCAAGCCTGATAAATTTTTCTTAAAGTCTCTTAAGGAATCATAGTCATTAACAAAACCAGTGTATATTGATTTTAGGTTCTATGTAGCTTACTCCCATTTAATAAAACCCCTATTTCTCATGGATAACTGGTTATGACTTCTATAGCATTGATGCAAAGGGGAAAATTGAATATTTTGCTGGATGATTGACAGGCCAGAGACTGCATGGGCGGTCTGTTTCAATCCTGTGTAGTGCTTGCATTTCACTGTATCAGTTTATAGGCTGAACTAGCTGGTACAGGTAAGTTCTACATAAATGACAATTTCATGTGTTTGAATTTTATCAATTTTATTCTTAGTTTCTTTACTGTAGGGGATTTTTATATGTAAGTAAAGAATGATATTTAGCACAAAAGTATATCCATGAAATCAAATTAAAAACACAGGTGTGGTATGCTGTAATTGTCATTTTTGAGGACCTTAAGTTTTAAAGAATTGTTTTGCATATTATTGTGTTTTACACATTTTTTTATTTACATTGCAGTGAATAAGCACATTTCATGATATGTTTTTGTCATTAAGCATTTGTGGTTAATTTAGGTCTGAAATTATAATTATTTCACACCAGGAATATCCTGTTTAATCTAATTTAGGTATGATGGTGTTTATACAGTGATGTGTACACATGAATGTGATATTAAAAAGCAAAGTAAGACTTTTTATCTAATTGAAATTTAGACCTTTCATCTTGCTCTTCATAAATCTATTTGTTGCTCGTGAAAGGCTTTCATGTGTGACAAATAGATTTACAAAAAGTGAGATGATCAGTCTTATTTTAATTAGATTGAGTAAGACTTAACCCTTTTTTAAGAAGTATTTTAAGGACATACGCAATGTACCTTACCTACTGATAATTTTTCAAGATATTCTTCATTTAAGATTTTAGTGCCATCAGATGTTCATAGACAAAAACTCAGCATGTATTACCAGGGGTTTCGAAAAGATATCAATTGATGAAAATTTTTGTATAATTCAAAGAAAATTATACAGAAAATACTAAACATATATTCTAGATGTTTTCTTTATCCAAACTTGCTTTAGAAGAAGTGTACAACAGCATATAGAGACATTAAAATGTAGCACACAACTCCTTCAAGTATTGGAACTCTTCAACTCCAGGGAAAAGGACAATAAAGTTCAAACTACGTTGCGTATGTCCTTAAGTTATGAATATATGAATGCCAGCTTTTTCATATTGATATAAGATTTGATACAGAAAAGTAAAATCATATTGTCTTTTTTTTTAATGTACCATACAATATATATTTCTGGTATTAAAAACAGAAGTGCACACACATACATGTAGTAATTAAGTAATTAAACCATTGTTAAGTGTCATTATCCCTGGTATGCACTAGCTATAAAATTGCAGTTCACTGGTCTGAAAAAAAAATGGGATGAAATTTCTGGTCATCCCTCCCATATTTTTTTTTTCAGACCAGTGAGCAACAGGTGTATTTATACAGAATAAAGTTCCAAATCACTGCTGATTAAGGTTCATCACCCCTTTGATTTCTCATGTAAAAAAAAAATCAAGCTAAAAAGCCTTATGATTTTAAAAAGGATATCTATTTTATAACTAAAATGCACACAATTTTAGCACACCTTGTGGAACAAATTTTGACAGAAATCACAAATTTATATTTAGGAATAATAGTCATTTCTGTCTTTGAAAACCTTAAGTTAAAGTTTCGATCATGCTTGTAATATGTTTAAGTACAACTTGTCTAAATATTGAGAAACGCACCTATTTAAATATCAGATCTTTTCAGTTTCAGTTAACAGGATAGAACTTGGATAAAAACATCAAATGACCTTGACCATGAGGCCTTACTATTTACCCTTGACCTTTGTCTTCCTTTCCATCTCCATTGTCATAGCAACCAGTTCCATTCACCATGACTACTGTGTTATAGGAGCAGGACCAAGTGGCCTTCAGATTGGATATTTTTTACACCAGAAAAACAGGGACTATATAATTTTTGAGAGAAATAATGTATCAGGTATTTTTTTTTAATGTATATGTATTTGATGACAAGTGTTCTAATGCAATAAATTTTTGGTGAGAGAGCTATCTTTTGTGGTGAGCTGTGCTCCACAGTACTGTTTGTTTCATTTGCAAAGCATATTCTTGGTTCATAAAATATGGTTGATAAACACATAAGAATGTCAAGAAATAGGCAAGTGCAAATTCAGGTAGATAGTTTTATACATCTATGGGAAAAGTAGATGGTTAATTTTTCAATATAAATCTAGATAATTGAAATTTTTCATGCTAGCTTGTCTATTTAGGATTCATTTTCTCATTGATGATGATAATGAAAAAAAACCCAAATCCCTCAGCAATTCTCCTAAAAGGCCTGCGATTTATATATCTATAGACTGTGCTGTTGTATTGCCAGTGGATTGTATTTTTTTGATTGCCGATCAATACTTGTATGACATGATCTGTCAATTATTATTATACAAAACCCCCAGATGAGTAAATTTTCATTTCCTTTCTCTCCACAATGTTCTCTGATGATGACTTTTATCCAATAATCTCCCAGAAAGTATGAATACCAATAGTGATTGATGAGCCAGTGTAAGAACCAAGTCATATTATTTTTATTAATTGAAACAGGCAATCATCTTGCATAATACACATGATAATATTAAAGATTGGTAGTACGGTACTTGTTACCATAATAATTCTGTAATGACGAATGTTATTTTTCTTTGATATTCAAGTACTGAAAATCACCTAATTTTTGCAATACCTTATTTTCGTGTTATACTCGGTGTAGCATAATATTTTGATATCGCGATATATTGAACCCAAAAGAATGGAAATTTCACAAGTAGACGGTTTTGCGTAATTGTGCAAAAATAAAGTTCTCATAAATAAAAAGTGATTTATAAATTTATCCTGATAGAGCTTAACTAGACTCTAGTGGATTTTTGCCTACCTGAGCCAAAGGTGCAAATGAGCTTTTCTGATTGAAATTCTTTTAGTGTTTGACTCTTAAGTGATATCTAATGTACATAATCTGTGATTTCCTTTTTTCCACTCAAAATTATTCAAACTTTGTACACTGATAGCATACAAATGAAAGCATCCAAATGCATTTTGAATGAATTTGTGTGATATTAGCAATTAAGTGATTGCCATCAATCAAATGGCAATGCAGATTGAGGGCCAACTTGTTGTGCTCTTGATCATTCCAATTTCTTGCAACAGTTAATAAAATCTAAAATTTGCCAAAATTTGGGATGATGAACTGAAATATCAACATTATTGTTTTTGAAGTGCATTCCATTTAGATCAATTGAAATGCAAGTTTTTATAAATGCTCATTTATTTTTCTCAGGTAGCTTTTATGTGAAGTACCCTCGCCATAGAAAACTCATCAGCATTAACAAAAGAAACACCGGGAAAACAAACAAGGAGTTTAACCTACGCCATGACTGGAATTCCCTCCTCAGTCACGACGAATCCCTCCAGATACGCCATTACTCCAAAGAGTTGTTCCCTCATGCAGATATTCTTGTTAAATACCTCAAAGACTACACTGAAAAACTGGGCCTCAAAGTACAGTACAACACGAATATCCAGAACATCCAGCGACAAGAGGACCTGTACACAATGGAGGATAACAATGACCAACGTTACACTTGCTCGTAAGTTTGTTTCCGTGTTGTGATGACGTACGACAGACAGGGCACACCCTCTTCATCTTATTCATTTAGATTGATGTATGATCTATTGTACAACACTAAAATTTTTGTGACACCTTATTTTTGTGAGATTGCTGAACGCAAACAAAATTTTCATGAATTTTGATTATTGCGCTATAATTTTTTAATAGTAGAAGTATATGCAAGAATGAATTTTTTGCAAGCAGACAGTCTCAAGTAATTACACGAAAATAAAGTTGTCATGAATAAAAATTGATTTGCAGTTCAAAGCAAGATATTTGAACATTAAGGATATCAGATGAAACATTAATGGGAAGACTGCAAAATTCAATTAATCCATAACCAGAAATGAAACCATAAAATATTGAGGACTTCTTCTCTCCAAAAGTCTAAATACCATGTTCTAATTAGGGGGGTCTCATCTTTCATCATGTTCATAAAAAAATAAGAGAATTCACAAAACATACCACATAATCCTGCTATAAACTTGCAGACGGACAAAACACACAAACAAACAAAAGATGACTGATTGATTCAGCATACAGCAATATTATATTGTATGCTAGGTCAACAAAGGCTCAGCAAGCACTATACATTCACCGGGTATGCGAATGAAATATACAGACAAAAGAAACTTCTTCTTTTAAGAAGGCTTGGATATAGAGAAGCTGTGATGTTTTACAAATCAGTAATTAGGCAATCATTTATGTACGAATGTTTTTTAACACTATGAAGACTTAGATATACACTGTATCACTATGAAGTCATAAGACTTTTTGACTGAATTTGATGCAAAACATTTTTTTTAGTGGTCTGGAAAAAATGTTATTAATGAGCAAAAAAAAAAAAAACAACAGTTTTCCATCAACTTCTGAAGAAATGCAGACAAATTGAAAAATGCCAGATAAAAAAATTCTGTTATTAGAAAAGAGGTGTCATGATTGTTGTGTGCAAATCTCCAAGTCATAAACCAAGAATGGTTTACAGTACATGAAATGAACAGGAAATTACTTCTTTTTTTGGTACAATTCCAGGATATTGCTGTCAAATTGTTCCAGAACCTTTCATATTTGTTAACATCAATTTAAAAAAATTCTGAATTGCAACATTTTTACACTAGCAGTAACTTTTCTTTTCAAAAGGACATAAATTTTTTTTTGTACAATTCCAGAATATTGCTGTCAAATTGTCCAGAGCCTTTTACTTTTGCTAACATCAATTAAAAAAAAAAATTCTGAATTGCAACATTTTCACACTATCTGAAATTTTTTTTTATCAAAAGGACATCAGGGTATTGTTTAGTGATTGAATGAAGCAATTTGTACTAGAAGCCATCATAAATATTTAAACACTGTAAAAGATTACTGAGGCATTGTGATTAGTTACATGTATTCAATGGGTATTTTTTCTAAAACATCCCCTTTCATTAAGCGTTAATCAATGGGTGGGCTGTGAAAGGTTGCATGAACCTCCATTTGACTGACATCCTATCCCAGCATTGATTTATTGTGTAAATACTACTGGGTATGCGATCCAGATTGTAATTTTCTAAATTGATTCAGTTTTGTGTCCCCATGATTATAATCAATTTTGAAATGACACCCACTTGAGATGTTGATTTTTCTGTTCTGATGCAGTGAGAATGTTAATTTAATTTTATTTATTGCAATATGCATTATAATATTACGTAAATCAAATCAGGCTTTAATGTATGCCAAGAATTCAAATCACTTTCCACAGATTTGATCTGAACATATTTGATAATGTGAAATACATGATTAGGCAGCAATATTGCTTATATAACCCTTCTCCATTTCTTGACAGATAACCTATTAGCTAAATAAATAAATAAATATGATTTACCAATAAAATGTTGAGTTGAAACATTTTTATTATGCACCCTAATCAGAGATTCAGGGGAATATGTTTTTGGTCTGTCTGTCTGCCTGTCTGACCACCAGTTTATCTGTTTGTTCAAAAAACTTAAACACTGGCCATAACTTTTGTGAACGATTGGTGTTAGGGCTTTTATATTCCACATGTGTATTTGTTGTGACAAGACTTTTCTTTCGGTACATGTACCAACATTTTTGACCTCATGACCTTGGAGTATGGCCTACTTTTGAAAAACTTTGACCAAACTTGCACCTTGGCCATAACTTTTGAACAGTTGGAGCTAGGGTCTTCATATTTCATATGTATAATTCTTGTGACTAATCTTCCTTTGGGTTCCAAATTTTTGACCTCATGACTTTGACCTTGGAGTTTGACCTACTTTTTTAATAGACTTTAACCTTGGACATGAGATGCCACATGAGGGTACATGTATCAGTGTTTCACAAGCACATCTTGTTCAAATTTAGTTTTCATGAATCGCATGCCATTTTCGTCAAAGCATATCTTGCTAATTATACAGGGATGGATAGCTGCATGCAGCTACCCTATGTTTCTTGTGTTCCATTTATCAATTAAATTCGCGATGAATTACAACTGATTAGGTATACCATAGCATTTCGTGGTAAGCTATTACATCAGAGATGAAGCTGTGTTAAATAACTATTCTGATGTCACTGGCAATGAAAGATTGTAAGAATCATTCAAATTTATGAGCATAGGATAATAGGCAAAGGATCAAATTTTGTCAATTAGGATCAAGGCTTGGCAAGGCCTGGATGGCAAAATGTGATTTAAAAGGGTGAAAGTTATCTATCTAATACTCATATAATTATAAGTATTCTTTTAATCATATCATTGGGATATTTCCTTCAAAACAATTGCACAAACATATCTTTTTTTTTTGGTTATGCAGACTCTGTAGATAAAAAGAGCAAATGAAAGACTGATAAAGTACACAAAAATTTGGTTTTTGGAATATTAAAAAACCCATATTACACTGGCATATCATACATCTTAGGTGCTGCTGTGGCCTACAACATATAGATGGAGTGGTATAAGATAAACATTGTGACACCACATTGATGTTAGAATAATGTTTTCTAGGTTTCTTAAATGGGATATTCCTGTCTTTTACATTTGAAGGTATGACAGAGAGAGAAAGAAATCACACACTGTTGTTTAGCATGAAAATCATTGTGTCTCATACGGCTACTAATGAGAGAATTTTCCTTGTAATCAAATTTCTCAGTAGTCCACAAATAGAATAAATTTCAACTGATTGCTCATTGATTTCCAGAGAGAGAGACTGCCTGACTGGGGTTTGGAGCCGGTGATTGATGCGATCCCTCCATAAAGAGGTTATCATAGATGGAGGGAATTATGATTGATGAAGAAAATATCTTCCAGTTGATTTCATTAATCTTTCATTTTTTTTTTACAGAAAATTAATTGTAGCTACTGGAATAGCTACTCCCAACATTCCAAAAGATGTCGCTGGCATGGAGTACGTGATTGGATATGAGGACGTCTCCATCAATCCCGAAGATTTTGAAGGGCAAACAGTTCTTATACTTGGTAGTATATAAAGGAGATCTGAGTTTATTATAAGTCTTCTGTCAAAATCTAGTCAGTAGCTGTCAGTAAACTTAAGATGTAATAATACATTTAATTGTTCAATGACAGTGATAATATTGCTGCTGCATGATGATGTACATTCTCTGTTATTGTTCATACAATTCAGTTACCCCCCCCCCCCCCCCCCCAACACACTCACACACCACTATCACACTATGAAAACTTTGAACTGATCTATATATAAAATCATAATTATTAACATTTACGAGGGGTGATCAAAAAGTTCATGAACTAATTGAATTACTTCCATAAAAGAAATCAAAAAAGGTTTCAGTGTTTACTATTCTTTAAAGTAGGCCCCTTCAGTTTTAATGCACATATATCAGCCTTCTTCCCTTGCACAAAACACTTCTGGCCCAAGCGGTCACATGGCATGCTCTGTAGTTTACTGTTCACAGCAGCCAAAAGATTTTCCTGGGTCTTATACCGGTACATGTATTTCTTACCATGCAGTTATTTTTATAAGAAGAATAGTCCATTTTTCACAAATTGCCAAATCTCGGCAATAGGATAGGTGGAATAGAATATCTTTTCCCAGTGAGAACATGGTGTCCATAACAACCCGACTCCTCTGTCTTGGATGCGTCGTGTATCCAATGTGGATCATGTATGGGTGCTTTCTCTATATCATATCTGATCTGTTAACTGTTTAAAGTAAATGAAATTTAAGGGGATCAAGAATTAATTTATTGTTAGAATATACAACTATTTTTCTAACTGTGACTTGGCTATCCTTCATAACAAATTGCTCAACTAAGGACACATCTCATTCCCAACTTACTTTCACTGGGCACCCAGAACGAACATCATTTTTAACCATCTCCCTTCCTTCACTTAAACAATCAATCAAGTTACTAATAACACTTTTGGCAAGTCCTTTGTCTTCATAAACCTTGTACAAATTAATATATGCTACTGCAAAGGATTTTCCAAGATTTACTTAAAAACTTTACAGCCATTCCTTTCTCTAGTACTACCGAGTCAACCATTTTTTGTCACAAGTCATCCTCATATTGACATCATTTTTACATTGTGACAACATAAACATGGAGGTAAATATTATGTAACTGACATGCTATTTATAGATCATGTTTAAAACATTTATATTCCAATTTTCATTCTGATCTGAATTGTGGTTATGTAGATACAAAAGATAGTTCGCAAACTTTTTGATCACCCCTCGTTTAATTCACAAACTTTTTGATCACCCCTCGTTTAATTCTAAACATTGAAAAGAATTACATTTGTTTAAAAAAATCACTGTTTGTTTGACAAACAGAACTCGAAATATATATTAACATTGCTCACCCACATTCCCTCTATTCCTACATAATAATAAATATGTTTACAAATAAATATACTTATTACAAGTGTAAAGAAGCTTAAGTGTTCAGTAATAGAATGACCTGTTTTTTCTACTATGTAAGAGTGTCCAATACCAGAAATTTGATACAATTTTGTTCAAGTTGCTTTGGTATGTTTAGACATAGGAATTAAAACCAGAGATCTGAATATGCCCAAATACATCACTATTAAATGTCAAACGTACAGCAGTGTCATTATCACACAGCACAGGTGTAATGTTATTGATCAGAAGGGAGCAAAATCGCCTCAGTTTGTGAGTTTTTTTTTTTTTTAGCAAATTGACGTGCTTCATGTCAGATTCAGAAAATTTAACAGAAGCAAGATGTGACACTTTAGGGTTATGTTGTAATAATGTTATAAATTAGAAAAATGCAGTATTTATCGTGTTTATATATACTTTGCCTGATTAAAAGAGATACAACGAAATAAATAAAAAAAATATTAAACAGGTAACAAAAATAGTTTTTGACATATGTACACTCAAAGTCTATTAAAAATAACTGGTGTTATATTTCATGTAACATGTTGAAAAAAAAAATCAATGCACTCTTTTTAATCATCAGTTATTAAATATCTAATTCTAGTTGGCCAGTACCAGTAAATGATCAGTAGGAAAAAATACATTGTAATTAAAAAACAACTTTGATACTTTTAAATGATGAGATGGTGTCTGCATAAAAACTTTGCACTATCAGTTTTATAATTATACTGTCAAAGTGTGAGCACTAAAAACAATTATGGCAAGAAATAATGATTATTGCTTGAAAGACTTGCTACTATAAACCCATAACACATCTTAGAAACACTGTATTTGTTAAACATTATAGATTTCTAATTAAGGTGATTTCCACTGATCACATTACAGGGGAAGGAATGATTTCCTTAAATAATAATGGTTTTATTCCACAGGACGTGTTAATGTGACTAAATAATAACGGTTTTATTCCACAGGGCGTGGTAATGCCGCATTTGAGACTGCTGATGCTATCTATGGAAATACTAATGTGGTCCACATGGTAGCTCGTTCCAGAGTGAGACTTTCGTGGGCCACTCATTATGTAGGAGATCTCAGGTTTGTGTTATCTGATAGTGGTGAGAGCAGTTTCTTGTTCTTTTTTCCCTTATGTTTAATTGCACTTATTCCACTGAAGCAAGTGATGTGAAAAATATAAATGCCTTATTAGTAAAATTTTGTTTCTTTATGGACAATTCTCTTGCAGACAGACCCATTTTGTCCCAGCTAGCTGACAGCTTTGAACAAATTTCCTTCCCCTATTTCCTAAAGAAGAATAAAATAATGTCTTCAAGTTGAATGGTCAATATACTTGATCACTCAATCAAAAGCTAAAAATGCTGCCATCCCATAATTCTTGTTACCTAGCAACTGTTTCCAAAGCCTAGCAACAAGCACTGTTCCCAAAGCGTAGCAGCATGTACCGTTCCCAAAGTCTAGCAACATGTACCATTCCCAAAGTCTAGCAACGTGTACTGTTCCCAAAGTCTAGCAACATGTACTGTTCCTAAAGCCTAGCAGCATGTACCGTTCCTAAAGTCCAGCAACATGTACTGTTCCCAAAGTCTAGCAACATGTACCATTCCCAAAGTCTAGCAACATGTACTGTTCCCAAAGCATAATACTTTGATAGAGAACCATTAGATAAACATTTTGAAATAATATTTCTTGAATTTCAGTAAAGACTTCTTTGTTGAATACATTTTGTCCAAAGATGCTTTTGTTCCAAGCATGTATTTATGAACAAGCATGTTTTGCTGTACAGTTAAACTTAGATATCTTGAACACTGATTTCTCGAATACCAGGGATATATCAAAGTAATTTTGAAGTCCCAGTTGCTTATTATTTAGGTATTTTATCCTTGATGTCTCAAATCCTCGGATATCTCAAGGTTTTTTCTTGGTCCTATCAATTCGAAATAGTGAGATTTTACTATATATGAATACATACAAATTCAACATTTACAGTAGCACATTAAATACACTGTAGGTCTTGAAATGATTATAACTTAAGAACTTAGTAAATTACTGAGCATTTCCTGAAAATCTCTTATAAAAGTAAATTTGCTTATAAGGAAGTCTAGGGAAAATGAATCTTTAGTTCCTTATAATTTCTTTGTATCCATACAAGAAAGTGTCATGATATTAGGGATAATGAAAAGGTATAACTTCCTTATAACAAAGAATTCCTTGTATTTGATTTCCTTATAAGCAAGTTTCACTGGATGTTTTTTTTTCCACAGGGCAGTCAACAATGGACTTCTTGATACATATCAGTTGAAATCATTAGATGGTGTCCTAGAAGCAGGGCTGGAGGAAGTCAAAATCGTGAAAAAGGATGGAAAGCTTCACCTTCAGTTCAAAGAGGATGAAGAAGACCCAGTTTACTCCATTGATAACTTTGCCCTCCGGGATCCTTATGATAAAATCATTCGCTGTCTGGGATTTGTATTTGATAAGTCTATTTTTAACAAGTAAGTCCATTTTTTTTATTTGATGGAAACAGAGTCAATTATTCACTCACGTGAATGTTTTGTGTGCATTTGATTAATTTGGTTTCCTAAAATTTGGTATAATACACATGTGTAAGTAAATGATAATCTAAAAACTTTTAAGATTACCAGTGTGAAAATAAACTATTCTATGCTACAGTTAATTATTTCATGAACTGCAGCATGTATCTAAGACTGATTTTGATAATCTTATGCGTATAAAGAAGATAAGAATTGTGTGGATTTTTTGCAGCAAAACAGTGATCTCATCTGGAAAAGGTAGAGCGAAAAAATACCCAAAAATTACCTATGATTACGAGTCCGTGGAAAACCCGGGCATGTTCTTTGCTGGCACAAACACTCATTCCCTGGACTTCAGAAAATCAGCTGGAGGTTTTATCCATGGATTCAGGTATACAGGTAAGTAAAATCTGGAACACATACATAGGTGCTCTAAGTAAAAGACACAACCACATCATATTATCTGCTACATTTATTATCCCCTCACAATGAAGTTGGAGGGGATATAGTAACGTGCATGTATGTGTGTGGGCTGGGGAATTTGTGAGAGTGTGTTTCCATTAAACAAGTAATAATTTATGTATGGATAAATGTACTCTTTTGCGAGGGGATGCTTCGCTCTGTGGTGCCCTTGTTATATGTAGAGATTTGTTATTTGAACTGCTAACTGCAGATGTACAAAATGTATATTAGTTCAAAACTATATAAATATTAACTACCAGAATACAAAGTTTTAACATGGATGTGTAATAAAATGTTGGAGGTTATAAACTATTCTTGCTTCATACTTTTTCAGCCCGTGCCCTGCATCATCTGTTGGAATGGAGGTATCACCAGGTCCCCTGGCCCTCGATCACAGCTCCCATCACCCAGATAGAAAACACAATAGTAAAGAGGTTGAATGAGGCATCAGGGACATACCAAATGTTTGGAGTGTTGGGGGACATCATTGTCATTAAAGAGTAAGCATCCAAAGTTGTTAGTAAATGCGGGAATGTCGATCCAGGTGCTGGTGTCTAGAAAAGACAAAAAATCTATATTTCTTTGATACAGTAAAACTGCTTTTGCACAAACACAGATAATAGTGAATTTACAGATATTGTGTTTTTTTTATTTTATTTTTTTTTTAGGGGGGGGAGGGGGTCCCCAGCAACATTCTTGGCAATTCCTTGTAAAATGTTATGGTTAAAACTAACTCTGATATAATGAATTTGTGTCCTGTAGAGGTTAAAAATAATGATATTTGCATCTTTTATAGCAATTTTTTTAAGGTCACAAAATTTAGAAATAATAAACTATCTTTATTTTCTATAAGTATTTGTGACTACAATTCTTTTAAACAGAAAAACTGAAGTTCTCCAAGGTAGATTTTATATTTAGTGTACTTGTATGAGCATATTCAGTATTCATAAGAAGGTAAACACGTATATGTACATGTGTATATTGCAAATTTGCCAAATAAAATTTTACGAATTCATTATATGGATATAGATATAGTGAAACAAATTAGAAACCAAACTGTGCACAATGATCATCTGTTACATTTACTTCAGTTTTTATCTCATGTGTCATGTGCATTATATTGATTGCTGTAGTTTTCAATTAAGTTTCAAATGTTATTTATAATATATCATACTTCAGTCGGTAACATTTGCTAATATTATACTTTTATGTAAATTAGTTGAATTTGATTCGTTGACAAACATTTGTTAAAAAACACTATTACCCTCTGAATGATGAAACAATGCCCTCCAGCATAGCAACAGCCAACATTGCTTGACAACGGGTGATATTCCAAAAAAATATTAACTGCACAGAATTTATGTGCTCACGGTTCAGTGCTATATTTATTTGTATGAAACATTCAATATAATATAATATGATAAATACAGCATGTACATGTAGTTGAGGGTAACCTTGAAAATTTTTGCCCCGCAAAAACCATTGTCAACCTCGACTGCACCTCGGTTGACAATGGTTTTCTTGGGGTGAAAATTATCAGTGTTACTCTCAACTACATGCAGTATTTATATTATGACAAAATGAAGTATCATTAAAAAAATTTACTAAGCTGTACTCTTTTGGATAAAATGAAAATAAAAACATAATTTTCTCTCTCTCTCAAAAAGAAATTTCAAGTCTTTGTGTAGGTTTCCAGTCATAAAAACATGATATTTTACAGTAATGATAAATAAGTTTTTTTTCCTGCAGTAATGGTCTGGAGTTTGATTACTTGGAAGAGTTCCCTATCAATCTTATCGATGACTTTTACAAACATTCTGGACACAATGTCACTCGTATCATCGCCATTGTTATGGAGTATGGCAAGGATTTTTCCGGACCAGGCAATGATATTTTCCGCATTGATCGTGCCACAGGAGAACCAGCAGAAGCCCACCAGTCAAACTTTCTACACCCTGTGTTTTATTATTACGACAAACTTCCAACATGTAAGACATTACTCAAAGACATGCCAGGAAATATTTCACATTGTGGGTTGAGAAATTTTAGCTATCAAGAGATATTGAAATTAAAAAAAAAAGCATCTTGTCTGCAGACCATAAAACTTCTTGACCTTGAATTAATAAGAATTGACTATCTATACATGTTTCATTCATATAGCTGTAAATTAAATGTACTTAACTTTAAAAGATAAATATTGAAAGCATCTCCTACATAAATTTTGATAAGATAAAATTTTCATTCAACTTCTCCACATTGTTGCAAGCTACAGCTGGTCTTTATAAACTGTTACAGCGGAAGACATGCAGAAGAAACCTCTGAGGGATGTTCTTCCTCCTCCAAAATTACTCCACCATATTGTGGAGGATTTCCTGACCTCCTGGGACGGCTGGACCAGTCACCTCCTGCCCCTCCGACGTTTCCTAGAGGAAGTCTTCGACCAGGATCTACGCAGCTTCTTTGCTGATAACTGCATGAAGCTGGCGTTGACCCACAGGAATGTCCCTCTCTCTTGTCAGGCGGATTTTATGGAGGGTCAAGGTCTGGTCCCTACCTACAGTCTAGCTCAGCTGGCCAAAGATTCTAAACTCCTACTGTAGAGTAGAACTTGTTAGATAATAGTCAATTTAGCCTGTCTCAAGCATTGAAATTTTATTTACAGTGACATTAAGATTCTGCAAAGGATCTTTAGTTGTTAATTACATAGATCAAATATTTTTCCCTAAAAAGTCATCTTATGCAGTGGTCATTCACTTCCTTACTAATGCATGGACATGTGCAGTTGCACATCATTAGCTCACCTGAGCTGAGGGCTCAAGTAAGTTTTTCTGATCAGAATTTGTCCATTGTCTGTTGTTTTCATAAACTTTTCATATTTTTTATCATTTCCAGAACCACAGAGCCAATTTCAACCAAACTTGCCACAAAGCATCCTTAGATGAAGGGAATTCAAGTTTGTTGAAATGAAGGGCCATGCTCTCTTTCAAGGGAGCTAATTAAGAATAAGTGAAAATTTAATGGCATCTTTCAAAAATCTTCTTATCAAGAACCACTGGGCTGGATGTGAAAGCTTCAAAATTTAAATTTCTTCAAATCATGACTCCAGGGGGTGGGGTGGGGTGGGACCAAAATAAGTGATCAAAGTTGTACATGAGAATATATAGGACCAAAACCTATTAAAAATCGTCTCAAGAACCCTTGGGCCAGAAAAGTTGAAACATTTGTGAAAGCTTCATTACATAGTGTAAATTCAAGTTTTTTTCAGATCATGAACCATGGGGTGGGGTGGGGCCACAATAGACTATCAAAGTTAAACATAGAAATGCATAGAAAAAATCGTTAAAAATCTTATTTCACAAGAACAGCAAAGTCATGATTAGTCGTCATATTGGTATGGAAGCATCTGCATGTAGTGTGGATTTAAGTTTGTTCAAATCGTGACTTCTGGGAGTAGGTTGGCACCACAATAAACAATTGAAGTTTTACATAGCAATATATAGGGAAAAAATTTTTTCTCAGGAACAGCAAAGGTATGACTAGTCATATTAATACGGAAGTATCCTCAGGTAGTGTACATTCAAGTTTGTTCAAACTATGACAATCTTGAATAGGGTAGGGTCACTATAGGGATCAAAGGTTTACATAGGAATGTATAGGGAAGAAAATCTCCTGATGTAGAACAGCAATGCTATTGTGACTCAGGTGAGCATTGTAGCCCATAGGCTTATTAATATGTGACAGGCTTACTATTTATATCCAGATGTTTTGAAAACATTGTAAACTACAAACTAGAAACCAATAACAGCTAATCATTCTTGAGTTTTAGTTAATTTTTTTCATTATTTCCACAAGGATGCTATCAATTTGTTAAACTTCAAGTTATTGTACAATTATTGCTAGTCTCTTTTGTTAACACATAGGAAGGTGCAAACAATTAGAGAAAAATTATGTTGTGATTTGTCATACCAAAAAGCATTTAACCATTTATTTATATTAAAACTATTTTTAAGGAATCATAATTATTAAAATTGTGCCATGTCAAGTTCTTTATTTAAAAATTTGAAACATATATATCATTTCAAGATTAGAAATTTTCAGATGAGATCAAAATTCACACAATCCAGAAAATGTCCAGTAAAACATGCTTATAGTGAGTGCCCTGACCAATTTTGATTTGTTACAAACATAAATGGCTATATTCAGTAAGTTTAAAAAAGTTATTTAATAATACATGGAATGAAAATCTCTTAGCTCTGTAAAGAGTGAATTCATTATAATTGTGTTCACTATAACTGTGTTTTACTGTATGACAATTCAATATTTAATGCATAGTTTTCAAGATGACCAATGAGCACCTTGCACAAGAAGTATATTTGTATTAAAATTTAATTTATGCTTTTAAATGAACCAAAAAGGGTATCTTTCTGCTATTTGATCTGTTAATTTTTTTTTTGTTTTTGTTTTTGCAAATATTCAAAAATAAGTCCATTTCTTAAGTGCAAGATTCTTTTTTTTTTCTTTGAAGTTTTGCAGTATTTGTTCTGTGTGATGTAAATTTTCTTTTCCCAGATAGTTTATCTCCATTTACTTGTAACTTGTTACACGATTTTGGTACCATTTCTCATAAAAAAAAATCAACTTTTGCCAAAATATGTGTGAATATGCAAATGTTTTTGTCATGCAAATCATTATCATCAACCTAGCAGTTATATTTTTCTACAGATAGATATTTTTATATTCATGTAGAATTATTTATTCAAGAGTTGCTAATTCTCGTAAGCAGATTTTATGTAGATTTTGTGTAGAAATCTGGAACACTGGTACATGGAATTTGAAACATTCCTGTAACACTATGGCTTTGGATTTTGTTTTTCTAGGCATTATAAAATAATATACCGGTAGAATTAAAATAATGATGAAAAAGATTGTGGTCCCCAAGTATTTAAAATTATAGTATATAGAGCATTAAAATTAATAAATAGGACAATTTTAATGCAGGCAGTTGTTTGAGAGGATACTGTCAGACTGTTTGTGGGTAGAATGTCCCCCTTCCCCTGAAACAACTATTAAAGTTTTGTAAATATAAATAGTGTAAAACTTTCAGGGGCTATAACTAATACTAGGGGGTCGATGAATCATTTCACAAGGAATAGATTGAAGAGTCTACATTGAACGGATGTAAATTAACTTCTCATCTCCTTGTAATATTTTCAACATGTTTGAGGAAATTCACAATCCTTAATATACAATTTTATTCCCCCCATTCCTTACATTTGTTGATACCATACCAGTGCTGCTCTTTATATATAATTTTTCTTTTTTGCTTTGTTTATACAATACTTTTTATGCGTCTTTTCTACAACTTTCTAAACTGTTTATATTTGTATGTGATTTTAGCTTTATGTAGTTCTGAGGGTGGTGGGAACACACACTATTTTTACCCTCACTAAGAACTAGAGTTATCTTTCTTGTGTTGCGTTTTGTATATTCTATTAATATAAACACTTGTTCATCCAAAGCAATAGATTTCCTAATTTTCTTTAAAATCTTGTAGCATTATCCAATTTTAAAAATTCATTTAAAAAAAAAAAAAAAAAAAAGAAATATTGGAGGTGGTATAGAGTTTGAATGAATCTATCGAGCATCTTTTAGAATGTAAAATTACCATTGACATATGTTTATGTTAAATTGTAACTGATTCACTCTTATTCACTTTGATCAGATGTCTAAGTATTATTGACAATCTTACATCTGTATAATGAATATATCCAAGCATGGAGTATTACAACACATATATTTTGAAAGCTCAAACTAACAAGCAATCACACAACTACCACAATTGTTTGATTTATATGCTAGATAAAATTGCAATAACAAGTAATTTATTTCTTGTTCTACATTGTAACTCATCACTCATAAAATTTAATATACTTGATCTACATATAAAGCTTCCAACTATAAGTTTGCTACAGTGATTTTTCTACAAGTTTGTTGTACAAGCAATGTATAAGTGTTAATTTCCCTATGTGTCATTTTTTTTTTAGTTCTGATTTCTTATATATACTGTGTATATTTATTCCAATAGGTCTTGTTATCGTATGGGGAAATGTTATGTTTCAAAATAAAATTACGGCTTTGCTGCATATGCTACTTTTGTGTTTAAAAAGAATTTGATATTGCCGAAATCAAGGTAGCTCCATGTTATTTCATCAGATCCAGGATTTCATATTTCAGTCAAACCTTGTTATCTTGAACTCCATGGGACTGAGAAAAAACTTTGAGATATCTGAGGATTCGAGATATCCAGGGTAAAATACTTAAAGAATAAGAGTTTAAGACTTCCAAATCATGTTGACATATCAATGGTATTCGAGATATCAGTGTTCGAGATACCGAAGTTCAACTGTATTTGCAAGTCAGTCCAGTATTTTGTTTTATAGTGTGGACATCTCCTGTTCCCATGCCAAAATGTGTTCTACTTATACTAGTTAAACATATGCAACAGTTGGCTTTCAGATAATTTTAGTTACAAGACTGTTAATTGAAAATTTGAGAGAAATGTTACCTTTCAGTTACATAGCTTAAGGACCCTACATTATAAATGAAAATATTCTTTGGACATTGAGAAAACTAAATTAAATCTTTTTCTTTTTCATCATTGGTTACCAGCTATTTACCTCCAGGAAAAATGTTTCAAAGACAAGAAAGTATTGATGAATAAAAATCACTGCTGCTTTCTTGAATGGTAAAAATGCATGCAAATAAAGTATTAAATTAAATGGTCTTTGCCTAATGAAATGTTCAGATTACAAATCGAGTAATATATTATAGTTTCAATTTACACATATGTTGTTTTAGATATAACGGCAGATCACTTTAAAGAGGATAAAAATACCATGGCGCACCGGGCGTGCCCCCCCCCCCCCGTTTGAATGTATTCAAAGCCTAAGGCTCAAGTGAGCTAGCTTTTCTGACCGAAATTTGTCCGTTGTATGTCGTCGTCATCGTAAACTTTTCACATTTTCATCTTCTTTTCAAGAACCACTGGGCCAATTTCAACCAAACTTGCCACAGAGTATCCTTGGGTAAAAGGGATTCAAGTTTTCTTAAATGAAGGGCCCCGTCTCCTTCCAGGGGGAGATAATTATGATTTTGTGAAAAATTAATGGCATTTAAAAATACTCTTCTCAAGAACCCTTGGCCTGTATTTGAAAATATGAAACTTATGTGGAATCATTGTGAGGTAGTGTATATTCAAATTTGTTCAAAGTTTTACATATATAGGAAAACATAGGGAACATCTTTAAAAATCTTCTTCTCAAGAACAGTAAAGCCATGATTGGCCCTATCTATATGGAAGCATTCTCAGATAGTGTAGATTCAAATTTGTTCAAATTCAAGAACACCAAAGCCATGATTAGTCATATTTATATGGAAGCATCCTCCGATAGTGTGGATTCAAATTAGTTCAAATCATGCACCCAGGGGTAGGGTGGGTCCACAATGGGCGATCAAAGTTTTACATAGGAATACGTAGGAAAAAATCTTTAAAAATCTTCTCAAGAACAGCAAAGCCATGATTAGTCATATTTATATGGAAGCGTGCATCCTCAGGTAGTTTAGATTCAAGTTTGTTCAAACCATTACCCCGGGGTTAGGGTGGGGCCACAATGGGTGGTCAAAGTTTTACATAAGAATACATAGGAAAAAATCTATAAAATTCTTCACAAGAACAACAAAGCCATGATTGGTCATAATAATATTAAAGCATCTTCAGGTAATGTGGAGTTAAATTTCTTCAAATCATTACCCTCCAGGAGAAAAGAGGGGCTATAACAGGGGATCATAGTTATACAAAGGAATATAAAGGACAATTCAATAAAAAATTTCATCTTAAGAACAGCAAAGCCATTATGCGTCATATTTATTCAAAAGCATCCTTAGTAAATGTAGATTCAAGTTTGTTCAGATCATACCCCCTTCCGAGCCACTTTTATATTTAAACTTTTCAATATTGAACTGATTTCTGCTTTTTCCTAGCCAAAGTGCTCAGGTGAGTGATGTGGCCTCTGGGCCTCTTGTGTTTTTTGGGGGGTGGGGTGGGGGGGGGGGGGGGCTTGTCAAGAATTTTGATCCAACCCCCTTTCTGGGATACTAAACAAAATAGACTTTGGACCCCCCTCCCCCGGAAAAGTTCTTGAGAAGCGTCTAACAACCCCCCCCCCCCCCCTACGAAGCATGGTTTTCTCTTTTGGTTAGATGTAGTTGTGATATTGTTTGTGTGTGTGTGTTTTTAGATGGATTTTGTTTTTGAGATGGTAAAGACCCCTCCTCCCCCCAACCCCGGAAAAATTCCTGGATCCGCCTTTGGTAGCTGATGTATTGATTTTTACGATATCAAGCAATTGCCATTGTATTTGGTTCTTTGAATATTTTTGTGTTTGTGAACATGCATACATTTGTTTCTCTCGTGTGAAAAATCGCTGAGGAACATGCATGCATTTGTTTTGTTTTCTCACTTAAAATGCTTGTATTTGATGCTTTTAAGCTTAAGAAAAAATATGTTTCTTTACTATTATTTAGCAGCATGCTTAATAAAAAAAAAATACGGTCGATATGTAGGATTTTTTTTTTTATAAAGGCCTAACTTTGAACTTTTCTTTTAAAAAAAGAGAGAATTTGAAGCTCTCTTTTTAAAGCCATAAAATCTTTCTTTTGCCATCTAACAAACGGCTACTAAAAAGTGACCTATAAATCAGTGGGTTTGAAGGAAAATTGCGGACATGCAATTTCCGATTTTACAACAAAAAATAATTAAAAAAAAGATATTTATTTATTTATTTAAAAAAATAAATAAATAAATGTTTGGTCGCCGCATAAAATAAAATCGGGTAACCGTAAACAAACACTTTTTTGTCTGGCCTTATGTTTCGACCAAATATAAAAAGAGGTTTGGAATATGTTAAAACAATGATCTAATACTTATTCATCATTTTATGTCAGCACTTCGGGTTTTGAAAAAAATAGACATGGCCATATTCTTTTCTTTTTTTTTTTTTTTTAAAAAAAAAAATCATTTTTTAGTATTTTTACTAGTTAGTAACAATCTGAAAAAAAAGTTCACGAGTTATTCCTCTTGGAACAATGTTATATATGGGTTGATAAACATCTCCTCATACCCCCCATCCCAACTCCTAACTTCTAAAATATAATGAGTTTCTGTTTTCACAAAAAATGTAATTTGTCAATCCCATCTATATGTCATACTTTGCAATCGATTTGTACTTTTATTAAGGTTTAAAATCTTTGCCAATTTTTAAACCTTAATAAAAGTACAAACCGATTCACAGAATGACGTGTACAATATTGATGGGACTGACGGGGAAAATCACATATTTCGAAAAAACAGAAACTCCATATAATTTAGAATTTAGGTGGGGGGGGGGGGGGTATGAGGAGATGTTACTTACGCTGTGCAGCTGGCTACCCATCAGCACCACTGAAGTGGCATAAAAGCAGTGAACTTTGCTATGGAAAAAAAAACGGTAGCAGAAAAGCAGAAGTAATACAAAAATTGTATTTCCTTCAGTTTTAATTTAATTATGTCAAATAAAGAAAGAATTAAATGACAGTATATATCTATATAACCCATCTCTTTGCAGAGCCATATCTTTATAATAATAGCCACTCCAGTAAATGGTTAATCAGTATAATGCACTCAGCTATACAACTTATTATAAAATTGTTTGTGTCAGAAGTTTTGGCATGTTTTAATTAATATCACTTGAAAGAAAGTAAAAAAAAATCGATTTAAAATAATGAAACACAGAAATTAAGATACAACGTTGATATTTTAAAAATTTAATGGTTCCCAACCCCTTAATTTTCTCTAAAATTGCTGGCATGGAATTTGCCCATTTTGCTATTAAGTATTCTTTTCAGGTGTGTAAATATTATTTAAGATATTGCATTAGATTTCATTACATTCCAACAATAGAGTTTACCGATAAAATACTAGATTTACCACATTTTAGACTACTTCAAGACAAGCCAATCAGTGCAAGGTCGTGCAGGTCACGTGTTCAGACACTTCAGGGAGAAATAATTATATCTAAAATTCAAATTCGATAAACAGCGCAAATAATCCTATTGTAGCGAGAGGCATTGAGATGGCTAGTTAAATAATTTTCTTTCCTGGATTATTAGGATTGATAAAAGTTATTAATGGCACAAGAGTCAGGACAACGGTTCGATGTTTTCTACAGAATGACGAACGATTGACAATTTCAGCCTGCCACGAGGCAGACGATACACTGGGGAAATCTTGTTGTATTGTAGTGTAAATGTTTTACATTCACAATAACAAATCTGTAAGCAAAAAACTTAGAAGATTAATTAGGAAAGCAATTACGAATAAGACGTTTGCGACCATCAACTGTCGAAGCAGACATTCAGCATTTACAATATACACGATTGAAGACCCATCGTTGCAAGGGTCTCCATCAAACGTATATGTATCAGTTTTACTCACGTATGAATGGACAGGGTTACCAGCAAAAACTTGTGTGGATGGTAAATGAATTTAAAAAACAAATTCTTCTGTCCAAGTTCTTATGGAATAAGATTATTTCGTTAGGAAAATCTATTTTATAAAGTTTTATGAATTCAATAGGAAAATAATCATATTACCTGAAACTTATATTAATTTAACTTTTTTTCTTTGTGTGTTGGGTACTTTTGAATGCAAGATGCATATTTTTACTTTTTTTTTTTAAATTTTGTGACATAATTATGGTATGCACTAGATAGGCACCCCCATCTTGGGGAAACCAGGTATTATCTAGTGACATACTTTTAAAATTGATGTATTTTTTTTAAAATGTATATTGTATCGTTAAATTAGATTTCCAATTAGATTTACCATTTAACTTACAATGTATGAATAATACATCACTTGTAATGTAAAAAAAAAAAAATCAAATATATATGCGTGTATAAATACATGTATGTGGAAATGAGCTTGAAAGTTGATATAATTTGTTCACTTGTGAAAGTAAGACATGTCAAACCAAAAGATATTTTTTCAATGCAGTTGAATACAAAACCAAATTGGATTTAGTAGAATTGTCTAACAAAATACAAAGAAAATA